GTGACTGGCACTTTGTTGTATCCAGTTTTATTCAAATCTTTATATAATCTTTATATATTCTTTTATAAATAGCACACATTTAATATCAAATTGGCTAAATGTCTTTGTTTTCTTTCACCTCCCAATACACTTTCAATCCTCTTTTGTCAGCTAATATCTGCATGTAAGTTTGGATTAGAAAGACAGAGACCTGCACATAAATCATACTCACAAAAAGAGTTAAGTAAGAAAACTATGTGACTTGATCCAACTTCATACCAGAGATAATAAAAAGTAAAATTGTAAACAGGGAAGTTGTACTCACTTCAGATTCCAACAATAAAAAGTAACATAACCTTGAAGCTTTGGGATTTTAGTCATTTTGTTTGTTTTGATGACCTACTTTTAAATCCAACAAATAAACTTGAGGGCATAGATGATCATGACTCTCAATGATTTCTTATCTTTTGTTATTTTAAGTAACATTTGCCTTTTTACCATATGACTTTGTCTTTTTTCTGCCTTTTTTGCATTCATGGTAATAGAGTATTTGCCATTTCCTTATAAGGAAAAAATTCAGCATTCATTGACCAAGCAGACATGTTTCTTACAGTTGAAAATTATATAATCTTTCTATGAAAACAATTTTTCAGAAAAATAGGTTTCTCAAGTCCATTTACTCTTATTACTCTTTCCAATACTGATGGAGGCTTCCTTCCTAATATTTTTCTTGGAGTAGTATGGAATTCCAACACCTTGATTATGCCATGAATTTCTCTTTGAGTTAGATGTGACATCCATTTCAGTTGTTACAGCTGTTGAAAGTCCTCAAGTGCTGTGGTTTCTGTTCTTTGGCACAGTCCTTAATTTGTAACTCTGCCATGACATTCAATGAGGTTTAAACAAGGATGGTCCTCACTAAGACTGACAGGCTTCATTTGCTCAAAGCTATTTTTAATTATTGATGTGAGAAAGTAGTTATATAAAATGTAGATTGATCTATTTATTCATTTTTTTATGGCTTATCAACACTTTGCAGGTTATTTAAAACCAGCAAAAACATTTTAAGAATTTTTTCACGGCACTTGACTCTCCATTTCAATGATAACTCTAACATTTTTAGACATTTAAAACAACATGCCTTACCGCGTACTCAATTCCGAAAAATCCTTGTTGAAAACACAACTATACTTAAACATGAAAACAATAAACAAAAATTAAAAATTCTTGAAGCTATATACATGAAACAGTTGAAACCTAACCTGAACAAAATAAATTATTAAATCTTCACAAATATTCTTAAATAACTATAATTGGTAACAGAAGCCATTAGTTTACACCAATGGCTTCCCTTACTTAATACTTCTTGTTTTCACTCTCGTGTGGTCATGTGTGACGTCACGAGCTGCGACATGGTTTTTGCTTCCGCGTCTTGTATACACAAGTTTGTCATTGCTTTGAAATTTTTCATGCAGCAAGGGCAGACTATCATTGTTATTTCGTCCATGTGTTGTTTGATATATTGTAATTGTCATCTTTGATAATGGTTTATGTAAGCAAAAAGATTAGATTGAATTTAAACATTTATCAATATGGTGTTTTCATTTTGTCTTTCAATGATAATGTGATTAAGCTTATCAGACAATATGAAAGGAACTTACTTAAAATAAATAGACAAAACTTGTCTATATTATTTAATGAAAATGCATTAATGAAAAATTGCTGCCTAAATATACACACAATATATATATATATATATATATATATATATATATATATATATATATATATATATCAAAATTCAGGAGGTCAGTTGATTCCAGTTATGGTATCCTCAGGTGATTTTTATCAAATGACCTCTTAACACTTTTTTTTTTTTAAACTAATGATTGCTATTTATAAAAAATAAATAACAATATAGGGTGTAATAGAAAGGGAGGAGGAGGAGGATGTGAAGAAGAAGAGGGAAGAGAAGAAAAGCGAGGGTATTAATTAAAATGAACATTTTTTTTTAATCCAGCCTCATATGTGCTTAAGAGGAATTTCCTAATATGTAAGCAAGGACTCAAGACTTCAAAATTCTGCTTCAAAAGGTTCTTTGGATCTGGAAATGTCATAATTGCTAATTTTTCCTGTTGGCAGAGGTTGCAAATATTGTTGTGGTTGTTATAAGGCTTTAAAATTGCCTGAGGATACTGTATGGTTGAAACCAAGGTAACAGATTCAATGGACCTTCTAATTTTAAAGTTAAAAGCTCTAAATGTTATTTTTAATTTAATTTTTTTCATATATATTGAGCACTTTTTAATACGACCATTCCCTGGTCTGATTCTGACCATTAACCTTTTATGCATCATATATACATATATATATAAAAGTAATATGGAGAAATTTATCACTTGCTGAGAAGCCAATAGCCCTGAAGAGTGAAGACATTACAACAATGCACTCACAAAACTTCAAAGTTGGCATGACTGACATAACACCACTCCTATTTGCATTTCAGCATTCACGGGTTTTTCTTTAGAACATATGTACTTGTTATTTATGGAAACCCTGAATATTCATGTGTTTTTCTGAAGAACATATGTACAAATTATTCACTGAGAACTCCCTCGATTCACATATTTTTTTGATAGTATTTAAAATATTATTGTATTATTTTCTTGTTATTTAAGGGACTTAAAACATATAACAGTCCATTTTTATGGTAAAAATTGGCAGAATTGTACATCTTCATTGTAAAAAAACAAATGCAAAAACATGTGTAGTGCTTGAGCTCTGTTCTTTAAGGGTTGCAGCTGGGGTCTTAAAAGTGGCTTATACTAAGTCTGGGGGCATCATTACAGTCCTGTTTTTAGAAAATGTTTTAAACTTTATATTTTATGCCTTGCAATGCATATTTTATACAGTATTTTCAATGGTTGTATCGATCTATGCATAATTAAAAATGGTTATTGTATGTATGAAAGAAAATTTACGTTATGTGTATGGTCACCAAAACTATTTTTCAAAAATGTTTTAAAAGGTCCTGAAATGTTTCTAAAGTCTTTAGGATGACAGTTTAAGGCATATGGGGTTTAAACAATCAAAATAGGTACTTATAAGTACTTTTAGTAGGTCTACAAGTATTCGCAGATTCTAACTATTTGTGTTCGGTTCTGGTCCCTAACCCCCATAAATAATGAATACAGTGGACTCACTATATATATATATATATATATATATATATATATATATAGTAGACTCTCCTGTCGAAATTCGACATATGAGGGTCAAGCAGATCAGTTTCCAGGAAACCGACAGCCCGACAACGGCACATGAGATTTGATTATAGTGGTGAAGGCTTCGTGCAGGACCATCCACACTTTTTTGAAGGGCCGAATTCAGAGACCTGGTGCACTAAGTGCCACAAGGTTCCCAAACGACCCTCCGCAGGTTTTGAATTCAGAGTTGTCTTTCTCCTAGACCAGTTGCCATCCAAGGCTATAGAACCCAGTCTGTCCTGCTATTTTACCCATAGCTGGAGGGAGAAGAAGAGGATTCATACCTTTTCCAAGGGTATTAGCACGTAAGTGAATGTAATGGATTTGACTGGAATTCGAACTTGGCTCTGCGATTTCTCAATCCAAGCCGCTATCCATTACTCCACCGTGCCTTTAATCCATATATATATATATATATATATATATATATATATATAAATAAACGTGTGTGTGTGTGTGAAGTGTTTAGTATTTACTAATTCCACATCCTGAATTTTCATGATGGATTCATGTTACATGTCATCACTGTTTTCATTCTAGTTCCAGATCATAGTCTCTGTTTTGGAAAGATTTATCTTGACTTCTATTTCTGAGAACACTTGATAGAGGATGCTACTGGAACAGGTCCTACACTCTGATCCCAGACAAACATATTAAGAAGTTTACTTGTTCTTTCCCCTCACTTTTCTTGCCCTCAGTCTGTTTTGTAAATGTTAAATTCACTCAGCTTTCTTTCCTTATTGTGTGTCACAGAAATTTCAACTGTATCTTTCTTAATGTATACATGTCATTATAGTTATTTTATTTGCTATGACACATTCTTTTAAAATTGTTAAATTTCTTCATCATTTTTGTTACTTTTTATCATAGCCTTTTTAGATGATTTTTTTTGTTGGAATAAAAAGCAAAACAATAAGTCATAATCTCTAAATAAATAAACAGCAAATTCTGTTCATCTTTGTTGGAACTAACTTGAACCACACTGGCTCTACATAGTCATATTATACTTTTTTGGAATAAAGATAATCCCAGGATTGAAATCTGCCCTTCATCTGGTGCTTGAACATCCAGCATTGGGATTTGTCTTTCAATGAAGAGAGAACAGTTAAAAATTCAGATTTTAAAATAACTTTTTTAGTGATTTTAAAAGTTTTATATTTATAGTGAGTTTAAAGTAACACAAAAACTTTGTAAGTTTAAAATATCTCCAAATCTTTGTGAATTAAGGAAATCAGTTCTATTTCTTCAAAATGCCAAAGAACCAAAGGTAAAGTGAGAGGTTTTGTGATGTGAGGTTTTGAAGTTCTGTAGAATTTGTGATTTTCAGCCAAAATCAGAGTTTTGGTTGGAATTGGATTTATAGACTAAATCAGAATAAAAGTGAGGTTTTGAAGTTCCATGGAGTGAATTGAGGAATTGAAAGTTATTTCTTCAAAATTATCATTGCTGATTTCTAAGCTAGACCAGAGGTCCCTTTAGTTTTAGGCCAGAGGACTAATTATCTCTCCACATGAGTTAGATTAAAAGTTCATATGGACTGCATCTTTTAAGATAATTTACAATAAAAAAAAAAAATTAGTGATGTAATAAAAATAATTTTCTTGTAATTTCTTTTGTCTGTTTTTCAAAACCCATTTTTTGTATATATATATATATATATATATATATATATATATATATTTTTAATCCATTTTTTTTCTTGGTTTTATTCCATTTTTTTGATACTGTTTCTTCTTTTTATATCTTTTCCTTAAGTTTTTCTATATTATTTTCTCATGGACATTTTTTTTCAATTTCAATTATCTATTCTTTCTCTTTTCATCACTATTTCTTTATGATCTTTCTATTACTTTTCTTTCTTCTTTGACTCATCCTACTTCTGTCTTTTTCTTCTTTCTTTCTTTTTTATTAATTTTTTTCTCTTTCTATTATTACCATTCTTACTTTTTTGTCACCTTCTTCTTTTTCTTTCCCTTTTTCAAAACTTTTTGCCTTTCCTCCTAACTCTTTTTATTTCATTTTCTTTCATTACCTTTGTTTCTTTTTGTTTTTTCTTTTCCTCATTATTTATTATTATTCTTATTTGTCTTTTATTGCATTGTCTTTATCACCTCTTCTCTTTTTCTTCTTTCTTTTTTCTTCCTTCTACATTATATTTTCTTCCTCTTTTTTATTACCACCTCCTCCTCCATTGTCTTACTCCTTATTTCTCTGTACACTTTTCAAATTAATTCTTAAAACCTCTGGCTTTATTTCTTTCATCTTTCTTTATTTTGTTTTCACTTTTCTTTCCAGAATATTTCCTCCTCTCTTTACTCTTCTCTTCGTTTTTCTTCTTCATCTCTGCTTCTGTTTCCCAATTTTACTTCTTGATCATCACAAACATTCTCCATTCTTCAACACCCACTCACCATCCTGTATTTATTCAAGAACACTCTTCACAATTGTTTGCCATTGTCTGCTGAAAGCACAATAAATATGGCAATAACATTCCCAGCATCAGACACCAACACTAGATAGAAATAACAGGATTTGATGATTCACATGTTTGGCTACATTTTAATTAATTGAAAACTATCACACTGAAGATTCTAAGATTTTGGTTCTCTCTCTGTTGAAGGAATTTTATTCTGTACTGAAAAGCTTCCAAGGTTGGCCCTTAAACTCAATATCTACTTACTTTTGATTTACAAGATTTATTTTATATTATTTGCAAATTAAGGAGGAGAGAGTACTCTGTAAGAGAGGCATGGGGGAAGTAAATGGATAGTGGCTCGGATTGAGGAATCGGAGAGCCAAGTTTGAATTCCAGTCGAATCCATTACATTCACTTACATGCTAATACCCTTGGGAAAGGTATGAATCCTCTTCTTCTCCCCACAGCTATGGGCAAATAGCAGGACAGAATGGGTTCTATAGCATTGGATGGCAACTGGTCTACTGCAGAAAGAAATGGCAACCTACTGTGGGAAAAATCTGCCTCATCAGTCATGTATCAAAAGATACATGATCACCTAAGCATGTATTATGTGTGGCACATAACTGACTCACACTGTAATAAGCAGTTATCCTTTTTCAAAATATAAAATAGGTAAAAGTTTTTTCAACATGTATCATGCAACAATATGTTTTTCATTATTTTCAGTTTATGTAACAAACAACATACAAAACAATATACAAAAATTGGATCCTTCTTATCAGGACGAATGCGTGATCTCTTAAGGTTTCACCATGACGGTCAGTTTCTTATGTTAGTCACAATAATCTAGTAATAGAGAAGGACAGAATTTTACAACAACATGATAATTGTAGCTAACACAAGAAACTAACAGTTATGAAGTATTCTAAAGAGAGTATGTAATCTTTTTTTTTTTTTTGATCTGTATTGAATTTCATATATTTTACACTGAGAATTGGCATCTTTTCATGCAAGTTTGATTATTAAATATCCAGTCTTGGAGTACTTTTTCGTTAGAAATAGGGCAAATTTTAAACAATAAATGCACACACATACACACACTTTATATATATATATATATATATATGTTAAGAAATGGACAAGGTCCGACAATTTATTTATTAAAGACATTTTTATGTTTGACGTTGTTATTTATAGATACAAGTATTTAAGCAAATGCTCTGTTTATGATAAACAGTATTAAATAACATTTACCGGCCTGAATGTCCGAGAAATTTTCATAGAAAATATTCGTTCTTTGACAGGATTCGAACCTGCATCCTATACGGAACCGTCATATACGCTGACGTGCCTTACCTCTAGGCTACAAAGAAGCTTACGGTAAATTCGACCTTGTCTACCGTAAGGTTAAGAGTTTTAAGGCTCCCATAGTTTTTGGACCTTGTCTTTGTCCAGATTATTTAAAACTCACTTGCCAATAGGATATCAACATGTGTGACTTATAGCTTTTCTACAATCAAATTGTGCATAGTATTGATACCATTCTAGTGTTTCCATCTTTCACTAAGGATGATTTGCAATACCTGCAAAGTGGTTCAGCTATTTAGCAATCTAAATATCGGAGTGAGGCTGATTATGTGGGATGAACCAATTTGCAGTTGGAGACCTGGATTGAACAGCACATTCCTACTTATATAAGACAGGGTGATATCAGCAAAAGTATTCACTTCACTCAGTCAGTTTGCAAGTCCCACAATTGGACTACATTTGGTGAATAACACCAGTTTGAACTTTGAAATATTCTGATGAAATGTTTTGGATACTGCACAAATCTTGTCAGGTAAACATTTGCATTTTTTAAACTGTTCATATCAAGCTTCATCGACCGATTTTGTGTAGGCAGAAGGAGAACTTTCTTTTTCTCTGTGGGTTGTGAGTACAAATTTTTTTGTTTCATACTCACTTGGAGCTTATTTACATTGTTTTAGTAATAAGTTTATTTTAGTCATGGCTACTTGTTTACCCACCCCAAACACTTTTTCAGTTTCCCCGTTTATGATTATTTTTTCTTGTATGTTTGTTTTTCTTTTTTTTCCAACAAATCTGAAGAAATGTTGTATGAAAAGGGTTCCTTTTAAATAATGTACTCCATCATTTTTAAAACAATACACACACACACACACACACACATATATATATATATATATATATATATATATATATATAATTTCACCATAAGAAATGTGATAATGCTACTAGGACACAAGTTAGTTTTTTTATAAGTGAAAGAGAATCAGAAGACTAATGAGGATAAAGGACAACAAAAAAAGAGGATTCAGAAAGACAGAAGATGGTTTTTGATGTTGCTCTTAAATTTTTGAAGATTATAACATGACAGAGAAGCAAGAAACTGAAAGACTGCTTGCCAAAAAAAAAAAACATTATATTCTTGAAACATCCTAATTGATTGTTATTTGACAAAACATAATCTTTGTCGCACACACACACACACATATATATATATATATATATATATATATATAGTGCAAGTATGTGTAATATAACAATGTTAATGGACTTTACATGATCTGTTCAGGGTTTCCTGTGATTGTCAGTTTTTTGTGTTAGCCACAATGATCAGGCACTAGAGAAGAACAGAATTCTGTTCCTTCCTACAACTCAATGATTCCAGCTAACACAAGAACATGACAATCACAGAGAACCCTTAAGATATCATGTAAAGTCTATTTTTTTCTATTATATGTTTCCTCTGCCTTGAACTTTTTATATTTTACTCTGAACTTTTTATAGTATTGGCATCTTTTGATGCAAATTTTATTATTGGATTTAATGCACTATCTCCAATATTGTGCCCTCTTCCATTATAAAATTGTCAATTTTTAAATAATACACACACACACACACACACACACACACATATATATATATATATATATATATATATATATATATACTGAATAGTTTATTTAACATCAGAAAGAGCAGGTTGGAATTTCTAGAGTACATAATAATGAAAAAGTGTTTGGAAAATTTGATACTCACAAGAGAGATAGAGGAAAACAATGCATAACCTATCTAAAGAGCTTGAGTAAATGGATGGTAGAACAGGGTTTAAGAGAGATAAAAGACAAAATTTATTAAGAGCTACAAAGGACAGGAAATTGTGGAGAGCCATGATCTTTAACTTCCTGCAGAAACACGGTAAATAGAAGAAAAAGAATTGAAAAGCAACTCAGTGAAGATAAAATTTACTAAGAGCTCCAAAGGATAGGAAGTTGTGGAGAGTCATGAACGCCCATGTTCTAAAGGGACACAGCAGAAGAAGTGATCAGAAAAATACTGTACTATACAAATTATTTGCAGGAAAATTTAATTATGTATCACCCTAAGAATAAAAGATACCACTACATGAACTCAGTTTTTAAATCAGTTACAATCACGATTTCAGTACATTGCCTATTTCAGATAATTCTTTTTTTTCTGACATGTCATGATTGCATTCATGATCACATCTAGATGATTTATCCTTAATCATTCCTTCTGAAAAGAAATAGAAAAATCTTGAACAGATGTGGACAGTTAGATTTCAAAACCCAGTCAGCTTTTTTAGCAAATATCACTCAAGGTTTACTGTTATGAACAATGCATATGCTAAATAAAGAGTAAAAGTCTGTATAATTTACCTTACTTAACTACATTGTCAGAATTTATTATGCAAGTCAATGTTTTTACAATAAAATTGATATTAAGAAACTGAGGTTGAAAAAATATTTCAATATATATATATATGCAATATATAACATCTGTTTTTAATATCTCTCCTTAATAAAGATATTGCTAACTTATTTCACAGGTGTCAGATTTTAATAAGCCAAAAAGGCACAAAGTTTGTTTATAAAATGTCAGCAATACTGACCACAGAAACATGTATTTTATTATCACAAGATCTATATGTGAATATATTTCTTATTTTATTAATTTACATATTAATATATGATTCTTGACATACTGTAGCCTTTTTCAGCCTATCAATTCTTCATTTTGTTAAACTGTCTACTTGTCAACTTCAAAATTTCTTGCAGCAATTATTATTGCTTCCCAATTATCTTATCAATTACCAGTTTGGTACAAAGCCACAAATATAGGGAACTTACTGAAAACTAAAATTCATTACCCAGCTTTAATAAGGGCCAGCTCAAGGTACTTGCAACTCAAGCATTCACTCTTGCTTCCAACAAGGCAGAGGACACTATCATGCTGCCATGTCATGTGTTTGGGATCTTCCAAACAAAAAGGAAAAAATGTGAAAATAATAAATAAAATGAAATAAAAGCCAAAATATTAAATTTATAGAATGGAGTAAAATTTCTGTTGTGATGTGATCATCAAACAGAAAAATGAAAGAGCAAGTTTATTGAGTGTGAAAGAATATGAGGAAAAAAACATTATTAAGGCATGAGAACAACAAAAGAACATAAATTAAGAAGATAATGATTGACATTGGATTTAAATTTTTGAAGTTGATTTTAACTTCAAAACTTGTCTGGAAAGCAAGAAGCTGGAA